TACATGGCCAGGCCATGAGCTGCAGGGTGAGAGCACGAGGCTGGAGGCAAAAGCACCTGGTTACCTCCTTCCTTTTCTGCTCTGCTTCTTTCCTCCATGTGCCTTGGTTTCCTCACCTGCACAAGGGTGTTATACTTCCTTCTCTTTATAGTTTACTTGGATCCCATGGTTTTGAAGTGCTTTATAAGACCCAGACAGCCTTACAATGGTGTGATGGTGCAGAGAAAGCAACCTGATCTCCACAGGCTGTTGCCTTGTGCTCTGGTAAAGTCAGAGATTTGGCTAGCTATGTTCACATAGCTTGAAGGAATAACATGATAGATTGCATCTAGCTTTGGCAAGAGGGTCTTGAACAGACTCCAGAACTGGAGGGCCAGCAAATTTGGGCATCAGGCTAATTTCTGTCACCCTTTCCTTAGGCAGCAGTGATGTACAATAACACAGCTGCCAAATAAAGCGATACCATCAGCTTCCAATCCTTCAACCTCTAGAGCAGATCCTTTCTTTCAGAAAATAATCCCTCTCCAGCCTGCATTTAATGTCTGCAGCTGGTACCTGCCACCATGCATGCAAGATCAGGGCTGGGAGGTGTACTTTCCTGTCTGAGCTGGCTCTGGATGGAGATGCTGTGAGTTAAAATGGTGTTATAAAGCTCTCTTTAAATGCAATAAAAGAAACATCCCTCTGCTTTCCAGCAGAGACTCCTTTCTAGCTGCAACCTGGAGCTGCCTGGTGCCTCAGAAATGCCTCTTCCCAGCCAGAACTGAGAGTTACTCCTCCTTTCCTCTTGTTTTTTTTTCTCATACTCTTCAGAAAAAGGCTGAACATTTGCCCTTTATGTTCCTCAGTCCTGCCAGCAAACACCTGTGACTCCTGAGCGTTTAAGGAGTTTGATAGTCCATGTTGTTGAATAAGCAGCCTCTTAGATAAGGACTTGGAGATGTAAGGAAGAAAGTCATTGCTAGTAAGGTCTGCACTTCTAGCAGCTATTTCTCTGGCAACGTGTCAGGAAAACCGAGGCCTTGGAGGATGTGAGAAATTAGAGATGCCATAGACATGGGTCCAGGATCGCTGAGCTTTACCACAACACAGTTGCTTAGGATCAGTGGAGAGGTGAGTAGCTCTGCAGCAGCGCAGCTGTTGTCCATCAGATGTTCATGGGGGCATTGAAATGGGAATTGTTAGTTAAATGGTTAACAACTGCCCTCCTCCTGCCTTTCTTCACCAGAACTGCCCTCTAGCTATGAGCAAGTAGCTAAACCTCCAGCATCAAAGGTTTTTGGGGGTTCTTTTTTGTGGCTTGTTTTTTGTTTTTGTTTTTTTGTTTGTTTTGTGGAGGGATGGTCATGTAAAAAAAAATAAGTCATCGAGTCAGAAAGGGAGTATGAGGCAGATGCAGCCTGCATGGCTTTCTCCTTTTTTTGTGCTTTCCTAGAAGTCTTTCCCACTGCATTGGCAATGAGTCCTTGCCCTTTTTCATGCCACCTTTTCTATCTCAATGCAGGACCTGGTGTCTAATATTCAAGTGTCCCTTGCTAAGGCTGGCAGAGACAGTGTCACTTAGTCCGATGTCTCCAGGCTGCTGCTCTGCTGATGAGACCTGACTGTCGCTGACGTGGGAGCTGTTTGCTCACCAGCCTGTGAGGAAATTGCCGATGCTTGCTGCTGGGGTACGCGATGACTGCCAGCAGTGTCAGCAACACCAAGGAGCGCTCCCTGATTGTGCATCAGCAGATGCTCCGCAGGAGATCTGCAGTGCTGTGACACTGCCAGAGGGGACCCTGGCCCTGGGAGTCCTGGCACAGCTCAGTAACAAAGGATTAAGAGCCTGATTTTCCCCTCATTGATCTGGGAACAAGCCAAAGCATTTCACTGAACTTTGCAGATCCAACCCAAATGAGGAGAATCAGTGAGAAAGGGAGAGCCCACGTGGCAGGTCACCACCTCTCCTGGCTTTGCCTCCTGAGGGACATCTCTCTCTCAGGTGCCACTCCCCAGTTCGTGTAGGCTTTAAGGGCAGCAGCTGCTGCTTTATAAGCAGATCCTGCCTAGGACAGTCCCGATCCCGTCCCGCAGTAGTTACTCTCTCTGGAAATATTTCAGCCCGCCTCCTGCGCTGCGCTTGGCCCCAGCAAAAATATTGAGCTTGACCTTTAGTCTGGGCTGTGAAATGCTGGTCCCACCCAGACCTGCACCCCCAGCTGCCTCTGCTCCTTCCCCTTCAAAAGGCCTCCAGCTCTCCAAAGTATACCCCTGGGCAGGAGCTCGTCTCTATCAGTTCTCTCCCCGGTTTCAAACCCCAGGTCATGAATAGGAAAGCAGGTTAAAATCTGGACGAAGGACTGGTTTGTTCCCTTTGATCACCTCAATACCAGCACGCAATGCCTCTGTGCCAACCCCCCTTCTGAGCTCCTGAGAGTTTAATTGACCATCATAATTGTGGGGCTTCATTTTCCTCCAGAGTTTCTCCTTAAGGGGCAGATGAGGGTCACAGACTTGGAGGGCATCTCTCATTCCCCATAAAACTGTGCAAAACAGCTATAAACAGCTGGCCCTGGAGTTTTTCTCCCAGAGATACTCTGTAGCTCCCCAGACCTCCCTTGCTCTGAAGACCCCTTCACCCTTGGGAATGTTTTGGCTGGAGGAGGCAGCAGATAAAATCCTGAAGCCAGCAGCAATGCTGTGGATGTGTCAGGAGAGATTGGACTCTCTCGGTGCAGATGGTAATGGAGTGAGATCAGCCGCTGGCAGAAGCTGGGGGGAATGTGTTCAGGAGTCAGGGCGTAATCTCTGCCGCTGCCTGATTTTTTGTGGCATCTCTTTATTTATTTGTACTTGAAATATTTTTTCTCTGTTTGTCTGTGGTCCTTTGTGCTCGCTTCTGGAGAACAATGAAACAGTGGTGTTTTTGCAGCAGTGGCTATTGACGGAGTTTGCGGCCGCATAAGTACAAAGTATTACCCTTATCAATCATTTCATCACTTTTCCTCCATGAAAAATGATCTGTCTCTATCAACCCCCAAAGAAGCACAAATAAAAAGAACAATTTCTTTCAAATGCAGTACAGCATTATCAGATGTACGACACAGAGATCCCAGCGGGCCTGATTTTGTCTGTGTTTGTGCCTGTTTTACTGAAGGGATGGCCATAAGAGTAAAGCTTGTTGAACCCCTGAGTTATGTCACAACAACCAGGATTTGATCTGGCCCTCTTGTCCCGGTGGTGACGGATTTATTCCAGGCCAGAGGAAATCTCACCATCTCCAGCCTTCCAGACTTGCAACCAAGACCGTGGCCATTTCCAAACTGTATTTTCTGTTCTTTCTGGAGGGAGGAGGTACCGTTTGGGACCATTTTGTGTTCCTGCTGCGCTCTTTGCCACATGAACAAGATGGGTTCCAGTTAGTGTTCTTTATGGTCTGGAAAAACATTATAAACTTTTTAGCAGACTCAAAAAATGCCAATTTTGTGGCATCCTGTGTTGTGGTTGGCTATGTGGTCACCTCTTCCTCATAAGTCCTTGAGGCTATAAACAGAGGGAAGAGTTGGGAATGGCCAATTTAAGCATTGAGAAAAGGCTGGAGCAAAGCTGTGACCTTCAGAGATCCCACCCAAAGGCAAGGACTGACTTCTTCCCAAATGATTTCTCCTTGATGGAAAGGACTGGCAAGGCAGAATCATCTTTGCCTTTTGCATCAGGAATGCGGTCTGTCTTATGTCTGACGAACAAAGGAGTGATTTGGGGGCAGCTGTAATTGCATTTTTGGAGTGAGTTCCTGTTCAGATTTAACACTGTGACATTATGCTTCTTATGATGCGTGTAATTAAAACAAAGTAAAAATACATCTTTTAGCTTGCTGTGGCCTGGTCAAGGAGTAGGAGATATGTTGTGCTCCAAGGAAGAGGGTGAAAAAGAGAAGCGGGTGCAAGGGACAAGTGGACTGTTTTGATTTTGAAAGACAACTGAGAGGAGAAAAGGAAACGAGTGCAGAGTAAAGAGAAAAGCAAAAGACTAGCCGCAGGGATAATGGCACTTTGTTCATTCTGAACTTGTCATAATTTCTAGACCCCGATTTCCTCAGATCCTTTTGTTTGGAGTCCAGCTGCATTTCTGGTGCATGATGAAGGGACCACGTGCTTTTATGCGTCTCTAAGCTTTTACCCTTTTCTGACCCACTACATCGCTCTTAGGGTCTGTCTAACAAGCCTGGAGTTGGCGGGACTCAGGCTGAACAAACATCTCTCAGTTGGTGGAAGGAATCTCTGGAAATATCTTGCAAGCTGAATCGTATCACCCTGATTTGCATACATAGGGGACCTTCATTTCAAGTTAGCCCTCAAAGCAAAAAGGCAGTATTTTGCCAGTGCCGAAAACAAGCAACCCTCAGCTTGCGTCCTCCTGCCCAGTCACCAGCCCTTGCTCATACCATGTGCCTGGAGAGTTGCAGGGAATGAATAACTCGATTGATCTGC